CAGCCCAAGGATGAAAGCATCCATAATGGACTGGGTCATACCCATCAATCACTAATTAAGAAAATGCCCTGTGGGCTTGTCTGCCCACGGCCCAGTCTTAGGGATGCATTTTCTCAGTTGTGGCTTCCATATCTCCAGTGACACTAGCTCAGAGGTTCTCAACCTGTGGGTTGAGCCCCTCTGAGGGCTGAACAGCCCTTTCATAGGAGTTGCCTAAGACCATCAGAAAACACAGATCCTTACATTACGATTTATAATAGTAGCAAAATTACAGTTATAAAGTAGCAATGAAAATATTTTTATGGTTGAGGGTCACTACAACATGACAAACTACATTAAAGGGTCACAGCATTAGGAAAGTTGAGAACCATTGCTCTACTTTGTGTCAAGCGGTTGTAAAACTGCTAGCATCCTATTGTTACAGGGGCTAGCTATGACTGATTTTCAGCCTGTTCCTCTTGCATGTTTGGGTTTTTTGGACTATGTAACTTTGGCTGTCTTGGAACTCACTATGCAGGCCAGTCTGGCCTTGAACTGATAGACATCTACCTGCTTTTGCCTCTTGAGCGCTGGGATTAAAAGTGTGTGCTAACAAGCCAGACTCTGTTTGTTTGTTTAATTATATTTCCTATCCTTTACTATTTCTTTATATCGTAGGAAAAATGAATTAATACTCATTCCTTGTTTTGAATGGAAATACTTAATGTTTTAAATATTCAATTTTTATTCCTAAATTCTCCTCTTAAATATTCTTCAGTCATGGAATGACCTAATACGTACAGATATATGCTTTTCTTAGTCCCTTAGATTCCCTATAAATACCAGGCATAAGTATGTCTTAGTTAGGATTTCTATTACTGTGATAAAACACCAAAGCAGCTTGGGCAGGTTACAGTCTATCATAATAAAAAGCCAAGGTGGGAACCCAAGCAGGAACTGAAGCAGAGGCCATGAAAGAGTGCTGATTACTGGCTTGCTCCTTATGGCTGTGGCTTGCTCAGCCAACTTTCTTATATAACATAAGACTTCCTGCTCAGAGGTGGCACTGCCCACAGTGGACCCCATGGGGGGGGTGCAAAGGTGCCAGATGTCTTTAATCCCAGGGAGGCTGAGGCAGGTGGATCTCTTGAGTTCAAGGCCAACCTGATCTATAGAGCAAGTTCTAGGACAGGCAGGGCTACACAGAGAAATCATCTCTCAAAAAACCAAACAACCAACCAACCAAATAAATAATAAACAAACAAACAAACAAACAAACACCTCACCAAGTCAGCCATTCTGCAAGAGGTTTTTTCCTTTGAGGTTCCTTTTCCCAAATATATCTAGGCTTGTGTCCAGGTGACAAAAACTAACCAGCATAAAAATATTATTTTCTCATCCACCCCAGTACAAGGGATGGAACTCTTTGTCTTTGTACAGTTTAGACAGTCTACCACTGAGCTGTGTCCCTAGCCTTTTTATTTTAAAGCAAGGTCTCATCAAGTTGCCCAGGTAGCCTTGGCCTTACTGTCTTCCTGCCTCAGCCTCTCCAGTAGCTGGATTATAGTCTTGTCCCACCAGGCACACCTTTTATAGTTTCTGACATACTCTTTTAAATAAAAGTTATGTAAGCTTCCAAGTCACATGTTAATTGTTTGTATTGCTGAGACTAAGTTCATTTCAAGGTCAAATTCTGGTCCTGAAATCCCAGATGACACTGAGGGTCTTTATCTCATTTTATCTCTCCTTGAAGGGTATCCCGTTCCCAACCCTGAGCTGATGTATCAGCTGGAGCACGGGCAGGAACTGTGGCCGGTGATGCAGGATGTTTCCCTAAGCATCCATGCAGGTAAGCAAAGTGGTCAGGGCTGGTGGCCCTGCAATCTCCTGGGGACTTCTCTTATTTTCCTCCTCGCTCTCCCTCTTTCTTCTTCTTCTTTTTTTTCTTTACTTACTTCTTTTTTTTTAGTGCTACAATGTGCATATGGAGGTCAGAGGACAACTTGTGGGAGCTGGTGGTTCTGTTTCCACAAGGTGAATTCTACTTATTAAACTCAGTTTATTAGGCTTAGCTGCAAATCTTCTTTCAAACTGGGGATTGACTGGGGAGTGACACATCAAAAGTAAGCTTTTCTTGTGATGCAGAGGCAGGTGGATTTCTGTGAGTTCGAGGCCAGCCTGGTTTACATCGCTAGTTCTAGGCCATCCAGGGCTGCATAGTGCAACCCTGTCTCAAAACATAAACAAAACGTAAGCTTTAGCATTTATGTTGAATAGATCAGTGTGGCAAAGCATTTAAGAAATATACTCATGGAGATATGTGAAAGAAAGACTCAGTTGGACCTCAAAATAGCTAGGATAGACTTATTGGTCTGAGAGGGTGGTGCCCCAAGCCCTGTGGGTACAGGATAAGGGGTTGTGCAGGGGCTGAGAATTATAAGGAGGTAGGAGGGGATCTGGTGAAGGCAGTCCCAGACCAGAGAGATAAGCCGGGCTTCCTGTGACTGTGTGATGAGGATGAGGATTGGCTATTTTCTGGAATTCCTTGGAAAGCATGTTTCTTCTGCTTATGGCCCTGGTTTTGAGGTGGGGGAATTTCCTTTATGCCTTATATTTTCTTCTGAATTTTCCAGTTCTGTTTTCCACGTTTCCTCATCTCTTTCACTCATTCTGAGTTTTAGGACAACAATAAAAATTCAGTTCCTTACCAGTGTCATTATGTATGTCCTACTTTGATCCATTTCCTGTCCAGTACTTGTAAGGGTTCCCAGTTTTTGCATGGTGTGTCAGATGGGGACATCATGGTGTTTAATTTTTTTTTCTCTTTGGGAAGGGGAGAGGTTAGTAGCTTACTATAAGATTTTTTTTTATTTTGCCATTCTGTGTCTTCTGTGAAATAATTTAAACAAGTGCTTTTTAAATAATTTATTTAGGGAGCTGGAGAGATGGCTCAGAGAGTAAGAGCACTAGCTGCTCTTCCAGACATACTAAGTTCAATTCCCAGTGACCATATGGATGGTCATGGATGGTCTTATAACCATCTAGAATGAGATCTGGTGCCCTCTTCTGGCATGCAGGTATGTATGTAGGCAAAACATTGTATACATAATAAATAAATCTTTAATTTATTTTTTATTTAGTTAGCTGGGTATGGTGGCACACACCTTTAAACCAAGCACTCAGGGAGGCAGAGACAGGTGGACCTCTGTGAGTTCGAGGCCAGCCTGGTCTACAAAGCAAGTCCAGAACAGCCAAGGCTACACAAAGAAACCCTGTCTCAAACAAACAAACAAACAAACAAACAATTTTATTTAGTTATTAACTTGGAGTTCTTTCCATATTCTTGGTTTTTTTTTTTCCTCTTTCTTTTGAAAGCCTAAAACATACTAGGCAAGTACCATTTACTGAGTTATACCTCTCAATCTACATTCATAGTACTTTTTTTAAAAGATTTTTTCAATTTTAATTTTTTTCACAATTTATTCATTATATATCCTGATTGAAGCTCCCTCCCCCAACTCCTCCTAGCCTCACCCTCCCTCCCTTTTTCCCCCATCCCCTTCCCCTAGTCCACTGAAAGGGGGAGTTCTCCTCCTCTGCCATGTGCTTATAGCTTATCAAGTCTCATTAGGACTACCTGGATCCTCTTCCTCTGTGGCCTGGCAAGGCCGAATCACTAGAGGCAAGTGATCAAAGAGCAGGCATCAAAGATCATGACAGAGGCAGCCCCTGCTCCCCTTACTCGGGAACCACATGGAGACTGAGATGCCAATTGGCCACATCTGAGAAGGTGGTCTTTTTTTTAAAAGATTTATTATTTATTATATATACAGTGCTCTGCCAGCATGTCTGCCAGAAGAAGGGACCAGATCTCATTATAGATGGTTATGAGACACCATGTGGTTGCTGGGAATTGAACTCAGGACCTTTGGAAGAACAGCCAGTGCTCTTAACCTCTGAGCCATCTCTCCAGCCCCACTCATAGTACTTTTATAATTTATATATATGGTACAAGTATACTTTTCCAGTTTTTGAAATAATGTTTTTATATGTGTGCCAGGCAGACCCTCACGCTGTCTGTATAGCTCAAGCTGATCTCTCAAACTTATGGAACTGTTATCTATGTCTCCTGAGTCTGCTGGGAGACCCAGACTATTGTTTTTACTACATATTTTGTTGTGTGTACATTCATTCATGTATGCACACAGAACACAGGTGAAGATCAGAGGACAACTTTCAGGAGGCAGTTCTCTCCTTTTAGCTTGTGGGTACCAGGGATTGAATTCAGGGCATCAGGCTTGCTGGCAATCGATTTTACTCATCCCAATCCTCCCCTCGACCCCAACACATCTCAACAGCTCCAGAACTACTATTTAGGAGCTACTCCTAAGCTACTTTTATGGAAAGAATAAGTCAGGAATTGAGATGTCTAGACTCTCTATCACCCAGCCTTTCAGTTTGGTCTCTCCCTCAGAATCAAGAATTTAAGAATCAAAAAAGAAGGAAATTGCAACCCAGGGTTAACAGACATTAAGACACTATTTCAAGCCTGATGTTTTTCTTTAACATAGCCTTTTTACTCTTCTATGTTTTTTATTACCCTAGTGTGTTACTTATTTCAGGTAACAAAGGAAAGACCAAGGCCTCAGAACTTATCAGTAGTGAGCCAGTACTGTCTAAGGGAGTCTCACAGCAGAGTGAGTTAACAAAAGAAGCCTCTTAGGACTCCCAGGCAGTGCCAGCTCCCAGTCAGATTGCTTTCTCAGAAATGCAGCAAGGATGCTTTCAAATGGTGCTTTCTGAAAAAGCCAGCCTAGGTCATGCTAGCTTAGGAACAGCAGAGAATGAGTGTTCTATGTTGTGATACAGAGGCGCATCTCTTTGGGACATGCTGTCCGTAACTGGGATTCACATGAGTCTGATGAGGACTCTGTAATTCAAGAGGATGAAGAGGTCTTCAAATGCAGTGATTGTGGGAAAGTGTTCAGCAGGAAGCACCTCCTTGCTCAGCATGAGAACAGTCACTCTGGCATGAAGCCATATGAGTGTGGCAAGGTCTTCAGCAAAAGCACATACCTTCTTCAACACCATATAGTGCATACTGGGGAGAAACCTTTTAAGTGCATGGACTGTGAGAAGGTCTTCAACCGAAAATCCCACCTTACCCAGCACATGAGGATCCACAACGGGGAGAAGCCTTATAAATGTGAGGAATGTGGCAGAGCCTTCACCCACCGCTCCACTTTTGTCTTGCATTAACAGAAGCCACACTGGAGAGAAACCTTTTGTTTGTAGAGAATGTGGGAAAGCTTTTCGAGATAGGCCAGGTTTCATTCATTCAACACTACATCATCCACAGTGGGGAGAACCCATATGAGTGTGGACAGGTCTTCAAACACAGATCAAACCTCCTGTGGCACCAGCAGACACACACAGGAAAGAAGCCCTATCAGTGCAGTGAGTGTGGGAAAGTCTTCTTTGAAAGTGCAGCCCTGATCCACCACTATGTGATCCACACTGGGGAGAAGCCCAGTGTGCCCTGACTGTGGCAAAGCCTTCAACCACAGGTCGTACCTTGAGGCACCAGCGCATTCACACCAGGGAGAAGCCTTATGTGGGCAGTGAGTGTGGCAAAGCCTTCAACCACTGCTCTACGTTCACCCTGCATAAAAGGGCCCACACTGGAGAGAAACCCTTTGAGTGCAAAGAGTGTGGCAAAGCCTTTACCAATCGGAAAGACCTCGTTCGTCATTTCAGCATCCACAATGGAGAGAAGCCCTATGAGTGCATAGAGTGTGGGAAGGCCTTCAGCCATAGGCCAGGACTCATAAGGCACCAGAGAATTCACAGTGGAGAGAAACCCTGTGAGTGTGTTGAGTGTGGGAAAACCTTTTGTTGGGGCACGAACCTCATTGGCCACTCCATCATCCACACTGGGGAGAAGCCCTATGAATGCAGTGAGTGTGGGAAGGCCTTCAGCCGCAGCTCAACCCTCACTCAGCATCAAAGGATGCACACTGAGAGAAACCCTAACAGGGTGCCAGATGAGGAAAGGTCTTTCACAAGTGGGCAAACTTCTGTCAACATCCAAGATCTTCTGTTGGGAAATGGCTTTTTAATGTAACCACTGAGGAAAATCTTTTTCAGGCAGAAACACCTTATATAGCACCTGCTAATTCATGTCAAAGAGAAACCCTACAAGTGTCTGCAGTGTGAGAAAACTTGTTGCAGATTGTTGCTTATCGTGTGAAAACATTAGAAAATGAACCATTTCTCCCTGAGAATGGAGAGGGCACCTAGTGGTTATTTTGTACTCATGAAAGCCTCCCACTGTAGTGCTCTCCTGCTTGGCAGTGCAGGGTTATCTTAGAAATTTCTGTGAAAAGGAGGTGACATGGGGATGAAAAACCCAAACACTGCTTTCACACAGCTATGCTGAGTCTCCGGGTTTTCCTCATCTATTTCTTTTTTCTTTTTTGGTTTTGGTTTATGGAGTCAGGGTTTCTCTGTGTCACCTTGACCGTCCTGGACTCACTCTGTAGACCAGGCTGGCCTAGAACTCACAGAGATCCATCTGCCTCTGCCTCCTGAACACTGAGATCAAAGACTTGTGCCACCACCACCTGGATTTCTAATATGGGTGGAGAGAACTTTGGTTTAGGGAGTAAAAGAGTAAAGAACCTAGACCCTATATATGTCGTGTGTGTGTGTGTGTGTGTGTTTATATTATGTGTATTTGTATATATACAGATAATATATATGAATACATATATATTCATTACTGTTCAGTATTAAAGAATTGAAAACAAATCTAGAAACATAATGTTTTCCTTGTTCCACCTATTTCTCTAGTAAGGCATCAGTTGTATGAGAAATATGAACGATTAAGTTATGAAATACTTCCCTTAAGCAGTTAAGGGAAGGTGGGTGTGTGTGTGCGTGTGTGTGCGTGTGTGCATGTTTGGTGTAGAGAATGTCCTACCTCTTGTGATATTTTTATTACTGGGTGTTGGAATTCATCATATGTGTTAATGTGATGATGAGTTGTAGTCTATTGATGTGATGCTTCACATTAAGCTTGGAATATTGGAGCAGACTTGCATTCTGGGAATAGCCATGGAGGATATTTTTGTTTATATTTTGTATTGTTATACTTGCTATTATTTTCTTGAGATTTTCCCCAAGTTCCTTAAATGGCACATGTAGCTGTCATCACCACTATCTTTATTTATTTATTTTTTTAAACATTGTCTGGTGTCAAAGTGTTTGATACCAGCCTTCCAATATGACTTAAGGATTTGGCTTTTCTCTTTCATTTGATTGAAAGATGGATGGTAAATGGTGCTATGTGTTCTTGTAATGTTTTGTAGCATTTCTCCAGTGAAACATTCAGTGTTTGTATAATGTCCTTGTGGAATATATACAATTTACCCTTGTTCATTCAAATGCTGATTTCTCTACCCCACTCTCTGGTTTCAATCCAGACATTGCTTTGTGATGCTAATCACACCTGTCTCAAGTTTGTGTAAACATGCCAACATTTGTTCTCTGTATTGTCAATAAAACAACCAGCCAATGCTGAGCAACGGAGAGAATAGGGTGGGACATCCTGGTCTGTAGGGGAGGAGAAGGAAGGGAGTGGGAGGAGTAGGGGAGCTGAGATCAGCAGGATAGGACTTGGAACCATGAGGAGAGATGAACCAGACCTAAGATATTACTAAAAGCAACTATAATGGTGGAAATTCTGATGGGAAATTCTGGTGGGAAACTATGATAATAATGGTGGAAATTCTGGTGGGAAACTATGCGGGCTTGGAGGTTTAGGATGGAGAAATTATTGCCAGCAATTTGCTCCTGATTAATTAAATAAATCCTAGTCTCTGTGTGGTGATTTGTGTACACAGCTGGTTTAGGAATAACATTCTAACTAAAAGATACACCAATGTTAAATATTAATCACCAACAACAAATGGCATACTAGTGTGGGGCAGAATTTAAAGTAATCTAGCAAGAACTTTCATAGAAAGTAAAACTATAGAGCATTTTTTTGTTCTGTTCCTTAAAAACAAAGCAAAGGCAGTTCCTAAACTAGGATCTCACAGACAGACCTCCTGCAGAGCAGCAAGGCCTCCAGGAGGCTGAAGAAAAAGAAAAATTGATATACACAAACCCCAGAGATGCAGTTTCTTTAGGTAAAGGGGAAAAAGTAGCTCTTTAACAAGAAAGCTTCTTAAAGCCAGACTTTGTTAGCCAAGGCAGAAAGCAAAATCCCTTTGAGAGGAGTTTCTTGCCAGTCTGAGGAGGAAGCATTTGTGGATCCAATAACTTCTTAGAATGAGGAAGAGGTCAGAATCCAGTGAGGGAGGCAGAAAAAAATATCTCTCCCTATAAGCAGGAGGCAGAGACAGACAGAGAAGCATCAAGCATCTGAACTGGCAAGGTCTGAAAGGGAAGCTGGGTCTAAGAAAGTAAAGTCCTGAGGGAAAAGTTTTGAGATTTAAAAAGATAATTTTCCATGTTGAAAATGGAGGAAAACACAATTTCACAGTGCTTCTGGGTACCATTTGAGTTTGTTTCTCTGTGCATACAAATAATTTTTTCATTGATGATTTCAGTTTTGTATATCCTCTTTGGGAAAGATCAGGATGAGACAGATTTGGAGAAAGAAGAGACTGAGAAAATAGATGCTAAATTAAAGGCCATAGAACAGAGGTTGAGGAAATCTTTGAATCAAAATAGAGAGCCTTCAGAGTAATCCAATCTAGTACTTACAATAACACCAAAAGAGGTGGTTCCAGATGAGAAAATTCCACAGACGTTTGAAGATATTGCAAAATGGCAGCCTACTGAGATGCTGGAGAGAGTCTTGACCTATAGGTCTGAAAGGAACAGGATTGCTTTACAGGTTTCTTTATAAATTCTATACCCCGTATTAAACTAAATTCTCCCAGCACTTTTACAGAAGGCAGGAGCAGGAGCAGATGAATCGAGACAAGACCCCACCCCGTTGCAAAGGAATGCAAAAGGTCTCCTCCCCGCTGTCGAGGAGTGTCCGGATCTGCAGTACGAGATAACTTAGTAACCGGTCCAGAAGGCACAGCTCCCCAAAGCAGATGGGGCAGGACCAGATGGACTTGGCGCCTAAAATGAACCAATCATTTTAAAAGTCAACTACCCAATCCAGTGTCGCCAAGCTCGCAACCTCTGTGATTCCCACGCTCCTTCCTTTAAAAACTTCAGACTTCTGTCTCTCCTGGCTGTTCCTCACTGTTTTTGTGGGGGGCAGCCCCATCTCATGATGACTCCATTAAATCTCTTGCTATTGCATCGATGATTGGTCTCCTGAGTTCTCTTCATCCCCCTCGAGAAGTTAGGTCCCCTAGGGTCCCCCTTTGGGCCTAACAGGTCAACTTGGTCAGACTGGATATTTTATCTGTATTCTTAAGGTTGGTCTATATGCTAAAGTAGCAATGTAGATCCTGTTTAGTGTTGTCTTGGAACAAAGTCATACAGTGGCTGGTGTACTCCATTTTACAGTTTGGAGAACTGAAATACATTCACCATGCTGTAAATTCATATTTAGAATTCTAGTGGGCTTTTGCCTTAAATTCTGGAGAGGATGGTCCTAAGGTTACACTTTTGTTAGAGATGGAGATGCCCTTGCAAATTGGGGCTGATGGTGCTTCAGCATGTATATTCATTGTAATTCAACAATATTTTAAACATTATTACATGAATCCTGTTACAGATATAACTTAGAAACCTACAGGTCAAACAATTATGAGAATATCTAACAATTTTTAAAAGATGGTCATAAAACAGAAGGGGAATGTAATATTTCTGCAAAATAGACCAAATAATGATTTATCAGCTTTAAAATGTTTAAATGAGATAAGTAGTATACCTACTAAGACACAGTGGAATTTAGAAAGGACTGCTGAATTAGAGCAGCATATTAAGGTCCTAATTCTAAAATGGAAAACAGGGAATGTGTTATGCTGGGGAAGAAGGTTTTCATATGTTCACACAGGAGAAGAGAAATTATGGGTTCCATCAAAACTAATAAAAATCAGATACAACAGAGGAAGACCCCCTGAAGATCTTGGCCACACACATGAAGAGAGAAATCAAGAAGACTAAACAGAACAGGTAACATAAATTGATGATACCTTCACATGGGAACAACAGTAAAACTGACTGAGACATAAAAAATGTCCTTAGCCAGAACTTCAACAATACATGGTCAATAAATCCTTGGCTACAATATCCTAAAAATTTATTATCCCATTTTTCAAATTGGCATACATAAAATTAGTTTACAGTTTAGTTTCATCCTGTACATCTCATACATTTATAATTTTAGGACTGTATAATACTTGTGAGAAATATGTTTTCAGAACCAAAGGAGTAGACATCGGAGACACTGGGTCAAACCTGACAGAATTCATCTTTCCAGCACACTGAGACATTGACATATCTGTTCCAGCATTCTGCTTGTTCCTGTCTCAACTGATTCAAGTTGCTGTTTCTCGTCAAAGCCTGCTCCCAAGACAGCTTTGGAGAAAGCAACTAATCTCAACTGGTCCAGCATTTTAGACTGTTCCAAACAGGACTTCTATTAAGCCAGAAATTTCTCAATATTCAAAGACAGGACCACAACTGTTAATGCATGCTTAATTAACCATTTTCCCAATTTCCTTTAGGTCCCCTTACAGGATTTCTGCATGTTCAAAAAGTCAGCTAGAAAAAATTCATGAGAACAACATCCAATTTTCTTTTAGGGGGATTGAGTAGGTTTTTATTGTTTTCTGGGGCTATGAATGTTTATTGTCATTGGGAGATGGTTATATGTTGTTAATGATCTTATTCAGAGAAAAAATAAGGTTAGGATATTAGATAATGCAAGTTAATTATTAATTAACTCAGAGTCATATCAGACACTAGTCTAATTTTTCACAGGAGTATACATCCTAGGTTTAACAGATAGATATGATTATATAAAGATAGGTAAGTCTTCAAAAACTTCTGAGGCCTACAGAATATGGCATTTAAAAATATTATTTTAAAGATTCTTTGACAATGAGACAGGTCATCTCCTAGTAGCACTCCCCCTGCCTCAAAGAA